CCAATTTCCTTTTCATCATATTCCCAAAAAAATCATTTTAGTACAGCCCTCCCAGGCTCTCATTCAACCAGTAAGTGCATAAGTCTCAGAACCACTTAGAAAGCATGTAGTATGCATTACCCTTACCCTTTACCTTATAGTGCAAAGCTAGAATAAAACAGATTAAACAACATTCCAACTGAGTGCCCCTGACCTGTTCTAAAGGAAAGATAGTTGAAATTAGAAGCACAATTAACTATTTGTGGCTAGTGAGTCCTCGTTTTGTTCCCCTGTGAGGAATTCTGCCACCACCTGTTCATCGGCTTTAGAGAAAGAAATGAAGACTGGGTATTTTGATCCTTCTAAGAGAATTAAACTCACTTTCTCCATGCTTTTCACCGTCTCCCTAGTAGCTCTAAGAGTCTTCCCCAACATATTTTGAATTAGACCCGTTTTGAGTTTATCCAATAGGACTTTCTTTGCCAACGCCTCTTGAATCTGACTTTCAACTGCCTTGAAAATGGTATCAAAATAGGCCTCAAAGGCTGGTTGAAGTAACATTTGTGCATTCAACTCTTCTTCCTTAGATTCTTCAGTGTCTTCTGGTGCAGAATAAAACCCCTTTTCTGTAAAGCTAGATACTTTTGAAACCAGTGCTATATATATATATATATATATATATATATATATATATATATATATATATATATATACATATATATATATATATATATATATGACACTGATGCTAAGTCCATTATTTCCAGGATTCCATTGTTCAGTAAAAATTCAGTTTCCTCTTTCCCAATTGACGTTTTGGGTCAACTCATTCTTCAAAATGGGATTCAAGTTTCTCACATTTTACGGGAAGGGAACTCTGCTGCAGATGGTCTCGCAAAGGTGGACAGGACATTAGACTCCCCTCTCAAGGAATACTGGCATATCAACCTTTGCCCTAATGTTGTTAAAAATATTTTGTACCACGATTGTATCCCCTAGTTCCGTTTTCATTAATAAAACCTGATTTCTTTGCCTATATATATATATATATATATATATATATATACATACACACACACATATATATATATATGTATGTATGTATATATATATATATTAATATATATATATATATATATATATATATAGTTCTCCTAAGGCTCTCAATCGGAGACCTTACAATTATTCTCCAGATGGACGGAAATCAACCACCACAGAACAGAGGGTTTCTGAAGTTGGAGACGGAGCTTTGCAATTCAGTCACCCCCCTTGGCAGACTAGAAACTTGCACGCTTATTTCCTGCTTGGTAAGGTAACCTATAATCTTTTTCACTCTCATCACAATCAAACCTTCTGGCTGGCAGTAGAGGGCAAAAGCAATAGTATAATTTGGTTCAACTATGATCTATTCAGCTGGGTTTTGGAATGCTTATTGAAAATTTACTCTGAGCCAAGTTGGGTGTTTAGTAAATATACTGGTAACAGGGATATGGTTGTGGCTGTTAACAAGGAAGCCAATGAGAATCAAGTAGTCATTTTCGAAAAAAGAGTTGAAGGCAGCAGAAAGGTCTCTGTTCCTGTAGGGAACCAATTCAAGTTGATTAAAAACTTTGTCAAAAACCTCCAATTCTTCTATCGTAAAGCTATGGAGAAATCAAAACTGGATACACAAACTGGAATGGCTTCGGATTTTAGGGTCCAACCACATTCTGGGAAATCAGGCAACTGTGGAGATTGGTATCCAATCGAAGAACAAACTCACCAAGTTGTCTCAATCTCTAAATCCTTACTGTGCTGGGAAAGTGAATCTCCCCTGACCTCCAATTTCTTTGAAGGGGACTTGGAACAATTGAGCAATGAGAGAGGGGTATGGCAGGAACACTCTTGCTCCAAATTATTGTTTGCCATGGACATTTCAGTTTTTGAAAGTCAAACAAACAGTAAGGAAGATACTCCATTCTTTTTGGTTGGGAAGGAAGCTTCAGGGGCAGATTCTGGAGCTTTAGGTCCTAAACTTTTAACAGCCAGACCTTGGAATGAGGTGCTCATCGGTCCGCCTTCGAAGCTATCTCCAGAGGCCCCTTCGTTTATCCCCATTTCCTATAACCCGTTTGGGGTACTAGATTCCAATGAGGACGTCAACCTTGAAGAACCTTTGGAGACACATGCCAACAACTTTGGTGAATCCATAGAGAAGTTTAACTGCTCATCTACTCAGCGGATGTTGAAGCTTAATGCGCTTGAGGATGCGCCCCCGGTAAATGATGAACCGGCCCTCTACACCCACTCGGAAGGGGAAACAACGGTGTTTATTGATTCCATTCTTCAACCCATTAGAATAAACACCTCTAGATGCTCTAAGGTGTCAATGCAGCTCCCTAAATTAAACAAGGGTAAGTCAACCTTTTCACAATCTCACATGGTTACTAGAAGTAGGGCTAAGTTAATATCTGCAGGAAGGAAAGAACACCCCATTAAGGGAGTAGACACATCTGAGGATGAGTTTACTGTGGAGGGCATTCGGTCTGCTTTCAAGGAAAGCTGCCCAACAATCAAAGAGAGGAAAATTCAACTTAAAGCTCCCCCTTTGGAACCACATACAAAGCTTAGCAAAAAAACAAAAAGGAAGGCTAAGCTAAAACTCAAACAAGCCCAAGCTATGGAGATGACAAACTTAGCACTTGATGCTAAATACACAATGGATAAGACTGATTTTGAGGATGAATATGATTTCTCAAATTAATTGTTGCTCTTGTATCTGTTTTTTATATCTATTTTGGTCCATTAGGGGCACGAACTTAGCTATTATAGCTTCTCGTTTTTCTTTTTAGCTTTGGTGGGCTTGTTGGGGATTTAGCCCCCCCCCCCTCCTATTGTACTATTTTCTTTATCTAATAAAATCTTCTTTCTATATATATATATATATATATATATATATATATATATATATATATATATATATATATATATATCCTAATACTAGATACAAAATCATACTAGGAGTAAACACCTAGACTCCGTGGATTACACTATAAGCATGTACCCATTTATTTTCTTTTTTTAGATTTACCTTTTTTGATTTTTTATTATACTACTTTTATAAATTAATAAGTTAATAAGAAAAACCCTAGTGTGCTGAATATTGTTACTCGTTAGTTACATTTGATTTTTATTTTTGAAGGAATATTGTCACTTGTTAGTAACATATTAGTCTTATTTTTTTATTTTATTTAAGATGGTTTCATTGGTAGCATTTTCACTAATTTTTTACTAATTAAACAAACATAATAGACATAAACTTTATCACAGGTATACCCAACCCGATACCAAGACCTAGTGGGTCCAAATCTAATATAAAATTTCAAGACCCGTCGGGTAAATGGGTACAAGTCAGGATCAACTTTTTTTAAAAGGTACAGGTATGGAACAATATGGACCGGCCTGAACCCAACCCATTCACAAGCCAATGTGCGTAGATGTTTGGGAATTACGGTGGTGGTAGACCTAGGAAGAAGTGAATGGATGTGATTAGACAGGACATAGGAATTCTGGCCCTTACTGAGGATATGACCTTAGATAATAACATTTGGATAGCTAGGACTAAGATAGTTAGGAAGGTGTTTTGGGCTTGGTGGTAATTTTTGCACTTGTTGCTTTGTGCTTTTAATGCTTAGTGCTTTTTGATTGTTGTGCTTTTCTTTTGGCAATAATAGTTTCGTCTTTGCCTTTTGTGCTCTGATTTCTTTACTTTTTGTGTCTGCTCTGAGCTTTTGCTACCTGTGCTTCTTGAGCCGCGAGTCTCTTGGAAACAACCTCTCCACTTTCAAGTAGGGGTAAGGTCTACGTACGCACCCCCAGAGACCCTCCTCTCGTGTAGGGTCAGTTTCAGTTCAAATTTCAAAACCGAAAATAAATTTTAATTCTTAGTAACCGACCTAACCGCTATATATAGAAAACCAAAATAACCAAAACCAAATAAAATTGATCAGTTTTGATCGGTTTTTAAAACTACAATGCATGACTAAGTGTTTTAATGGTTGTGATGGATTCTTCGGTAGGAAGAACTTAGAAGGATGTGGACATGTCATTAGCTTGACAATGAGTTGGACAGTAACCATGCGGAAACCAAGCAGACTTGATAATGCTCCATATTACTCACACCACAAAGATCACCAAGAAGTTAATCCTCCCTCTGATCAGCAAGTTCTTCATTATTTCAATCATGTGGTTTGATTAGTAATTTGTTCAATGGAGAGTATTATTATTAGCGAGAAGATTTTCTATTCTAGTTCTCTTTTAATCTTTTGCCTATCAAACAGTCTATTATTAAATGGATGATATATACTAGTAGTGTATATGGACTAGATTTATTAAAAAGAAGAACAGATTATGATAATGTTCGTCCAATTTTTCTTAAATCATGTAACCGATAACCGATTGAATAAACAAAATAACTTAAAGTTTTTATTATGCAAAACCAAAACGAAATTGAAACCAAACTTTTGGTTGGTTTGGTTTTTGGTCACTGGTTGGGCAGTCGGCTCGGTTAAAATGCTCACCCCTACTATCTTGGGATTCAACAAGATTGTTGTTGTTGTTGTTCTTTCTTCTCCATTTGGTGTGGAATTGTTTTTGTTACCCAACATGCCAAATGAATGAAATGCTCATCTACACAAAACTAACTCATGACTATGGTTATATCACCTAGTTGTTAGACTGCTAGTCCTTGTATAAATATGTTAAATATGTTGATCATAAGAGTAAAAAGAAATAGAAAAGCACCCCCACTATGATTTGTTTCAAACTTTCAATCAACAAAAAAAAATGTCCAGGGTACTCAACAACATAGGTCCACCTAAATTTTTGGGGAAAAAAGGCGGGCTAAAATTTCAAAATATTTGCCCTCTAGACAACAATATCATGTATGGAGTAACAAAATCTTGAACTGTACTATAGTAGTTTTGTTACCAACTATGAAAAAAATGAATGTGTATGCATATGCAGATATAAGTGGTTGTAACCTCCAAGAAAAGATTGCCAAAATAGATTTTGTCACTGGGTTCAATGAAACGATCAGCATGGGCATTGCTTGCTTTGGAGATGATAGATCTTACACTAGGATCCTTATTCTGCAAAATACAAATACAAACCAGTGAAGAAAACCACAAAACAGGGAGCATGATTAGCGGCTAGGAAAATAAATTACAAACCTTGATCAAACCAGAGCCGGTTACATGATCAGCATGTACATGTGTGTTTATAGCGTAAATAAGCTTCAAGCCCAATTCTTTAACAAGTGAAAGATCCCTGTCCACTGTTTTGTCCACTGGATCAATCAACTGCATTTATATGAGTTTCATTAGTTGTCTCATATAAAGTGACAGCCAAAAGAACCACACTACATCAAATGATAGTTTTGCTTCTCCAAACTCAAGAGGAATTGATGCGAATAGAATAATGGATTAAGTAATAATCCCACAGAAACTAAATATTTACAAAAAACATTATGGACAGGTGAACAACATGAGTTAAGATGCATCTAGCACTGTGGCATTGCTTAACTAAATTTAAGTTCTAGGATCTATCATTTTTAGATCATTGTGTCAAAAAATACACCATCCATCCCAAAATACACTTCACCATTGGGATGGAAGGAGTAGTGCATTTTGTTCATAGCTGATTGAGTTGTAATAATTTTAAACACTTCTACACTGAGCTAGTACTAAGTGATGAGATCATGAGAGAGCAAATATTCAACACTACTGTTGCCCCTTTCCCCTTATCAGGATGAGCGTCAATCTAGTCATTCAAGTCTTGAATCCAATATCCATATCTCAGCATGTCTAAACTCTAACACTGTGTTTGGTTCATGGAATTTTAGAGGGAAATAGAAAGAAAATGATATGGAAAACAAATTTTCATGTTTGGTTAGAGAGGAAAGGAAAAGAGAAGTAGAAAGAAAAGAAAATGATAAGCTAAAATAAGCTAAGAGGGAAAACATGATTCCTTCCATTTTAGTGAGGAAAATGAGAGAAAATGTTTATTTTCCTTTCCTTCCTTATTCCTTGAACCAAACATAGTGTAAAGGATTGTAAAATGTAAACATGTCCACTCGCAATTATATATAAACATAACAATTAGTTTATGAGTTATTTTTCATTTTCTATCTTTGACTACTGCTTTGGGCGTAATGATAATTACATATGTCAACACTGGTTGTATGCAAGCCAAGTCATCTTACAGTTGCATTCAAAGGTTGAAAGAACAAGAAGTCTCATAGCATGGACAGAACATTCTAGATATGAACTTTATAGACGATTCACAAATGTCTGTCCAAGTGTTATTTCTATACCAGTTACAAATCGGTGGATACCTCCAAATCCAATGGTAAACTTGATGTTTATGGACATAGGCAGAAACGTGAACCCATCACATATGGACTTGATTTCTTGGTGATACCGATTCACATAATCATAAAGCTAATCACAATGTCCACTCTTTCTTATGACCCATGATTTGACTGTAAATACTATGCTAACAAGATGATCGTTAAGCCCTTAAAAACCTTATTGGAGTGCATTCGTATCCGAAACCTCAACATTGTATTACTCCCAATAAAGCGTCCCATGTGAAACCATTTCACCACTCTCAAACTGACATAGTAAAGACTACCGCATAGATCACAAATTTTTGAAGTGGCAACAAATCAGTTTAACGATCGAAATAAATAAATATTTTGAAAAAAGAAACATAAGAATATCAGAAGCAAGAAAAGGAATTCCAAAAAAAAATCTTACAAGAAATGGTTAATGAAATTTTTACCAGGGCAGGTTTTTCAGGGTGGAGACCATCGGCAAGAAGGTAAGTGTAGGTAGACGACTCCTTCTCGAAGAGCTGACGGAAGATGAGTTTGTTTTGAAATGCCATAGCAGGAGACGACGTCGTATAAGAAGCCACCTGAGGAGAGCCTGAGATGGAGGAGCGAAGCAGAAGAACTGAGCTTTGGGTTTTCGGATGAAGAAAAGAGAGACGCGAAAGAAAACCGAAGAGGGGAATTTGAAGCATATTCTGTTTTGTGATCGGTGGAAATGTATGGCCACCAAATCACCAATGCTTCGCAAATTGGAAGAACCGACTAAAAAGGAGTGTATTCAATTGGGATTTTATTGGATTTTTTTAGATTTTAAAAAGTTAATGGATTTAAAAAAATTGTAGAATTCATGTAGAGTTTGGTTGATTTTTTGTAATATCCATGTAGAGTTTGAGAATTTTATAGAGTCCATGTAGAGTTTGTAAAATATGTGTGTAGAATTTTTGCAAAAATAATTTCAAGGACATAATGAGTAGACAAAGGTGGACAAATCACCTTCTCCGCACAAATCACAAAGTTTGTAAACCAAAAAATAGCAGAGAACGGAGGACAGAAAACGAACGAACAGAGCAGCGGATCGGGTCAAGGACGTCATCCGGACAGAGTTAGACAGATCAGCGGCCGACGATCGGAGCAACGATCGGATAGACGAGTCACGATCGTACTCGCTATCGGAAGATGAACAGTCAGATGATCTGGATCCAGATCCGGGAGACTAGCCAGACGAACAGTGGAAGTAAAAACTATGTGTATGTGCGAAAATGGAAGTCCATACAAATCTAGAGGTGTGAGGAGAGATTTTGTAGGAGTGAAATGTAAGCATTTTTTGAGAGAAAATCCAATAAAATCCATAGAGTTTTAAAACTCATAGATTTTTGAATATCTCAAAATTTTTAAAGACTTTTGAAAATCTAAATTGAATACTTCAATATTTTTAAAGACTTTGAAAAATCCTTATTGAATACCTCAAGATTGTTAAAGATTTTTAAAAATCNGAGGTGTGAGGAGAGATTTTGTAGGAGTGAAATGTAAGCATTTTTTGAGAGAAAATCCAATAAAATCCATAGAGTTTTAAAACTCATAGATTTTTGAATATCTCAAAATTTTTAAAGACTTTTGAAAATCTAAATTGAATACTTCAATATTTTTAAAGACTTTGAAAAATCCTTATTGAATACCTCAAGATTGTTAAAGATTTTTAAAAATCCAGATTGAATACATTCAAATTTTAAAAATCCAAAAAAATCCAACAGACTCTCAATTCAATACACCCCCCTTAACCAACAGCAGAATGGCTGGTTCTCCCTAGTTAGTTAAAATATGGTGATGTTGCCGCTAGCTTATCCGGTGCACCTTTCTATAACCTCCCCCCATAATAGGCACACTTTTGGAAGAATTGGGTTCCGGATTGAATGAAGGGTTTAGAAGAGGGTTATGGAATTTGTGAACCATTAATTTTATGAACGAAGTATCGAAGGTGCTCCAAAAAAGAAGTGACAGCCAAAGCTGCTCTGCAAGTAACCGTTGTGTGGTTAATAAGCATATGATAGACGTATTAGATAATTTAACTTTTGGCTTTTTGCCAAAACTGAACAGTTTACTCTAAACGGTACACGCTTTTTCGCCCAAACTGTTCCGATTTGAAAATGGATTGTATTTTTGAAATGAGACTATCAAAACTAAAATTTTGACATAATCAAAATACTTTTCTGAAAACTTTTATTTTTCAGTGTTCAGGTCTGTCTCAGTCATAAATTAATACTTGGTCCGTCCCTGAGTGTTTGTCCACTTTTGACTTTTGGAACTGTTCATCTAAGCACTTTGACTCATCAAATTCTCTCAATGTGTAAACCTAAAAATAGTCATGTGTGATCTTGTTTGATTCGTCTTAACATATAGATTATTAATATATACTCCCTCCGTTCTAATTCTTTCTTCCCAGTTTGACTTTTCCTCATTTTTAATTTTTGGCTTTGACTTCAAATTTTATCCTCCTTAAAAAAGATTTTTTGAAATTTTTTTTATAATCATTCAAAATATAGAGCTAGAAGATAATTTGTGTAAATACATGAGGGTATTAATGTCATTTGTCATCTTTTTTTCTAATGGGAAGGTAGTTTTAGGACGGAGAAAAAGGGGAAGTGGGAAGAAAGTTTTAGGACGGAGGGAGTAATTTTTATAATTTTTTAATATACAAATTACAAGATAAAATGGATTAAAAAAGTGCATTGGATGGTGTGCAAAAATGAAAGTGGACAAACACTCAGGAACGGAGGGAGTATAATAATATGAATGATACAAAAATATGTGAATTAAATCCAAATGATAAATATGGTGTTGTCCAGTGTCAAAATTATGATTTCTAATCTTATGAAATCACTTTTGAATTGAGTTTAATTTATAGGTCAAAGTTACAAATTTTAATATTTAAAATCGTCATAGTTTGAAATCTATAAATCAGATTGATTCATAAAATATACAGTTGGATTCGTCTCTTTGAGACATATCCATAAAAAATAAGTTTTTAACAAAAATTATTACTTTGAAAATCCCTTCATTTTTGGTCAATCGTAATAATAATATTCTTTATTGGATCAAAATGATATTCAAAACTACTTTTGTTTTCTAATAAATTTTAGGCCATATTTCGTGGCGTTACAATGTAACTCCCCAATTCATTTCACACACCACCCCCACTTCATTCCTCCCCTTTTTAATTCCCCATTATTTATCATTACACCTTTTCCATTACATACCTTCCTCTCCCTTCATTTCCTCCGCCATTTTTGTAACCCTCATCCATAACATCCACAACTCTCCCTCTTCCCTCTCTTTGTGTTTTCGGCCAAGCAGCTAGGCAAGGGAGGAATTCTGGCAATCGAGGAGGAGAAGAAAAGGGAAGAGGGGAAGAAAGTTTGCGCATAAAGCTGATTGTTCGTTCGTTTGGTTCGTTGTTCATACGTTCCATTTTCCCGCTCGTCAACTCCTTCGTTCTAGAGGTGAGTGTGTTGCCCTCTAGCTTTAGAATCCGTAGTATATTTCATATCGTTATATTCATTGGATTACCCGGCTAAACCTACGTGAATCTGCATTATTATGGTCTTCTCGTTATTAAGATTTTTGGTTATGAAACTTGTTAATATAATCACCTTGAAACTCGTTGAATTCATAGATTACTTCACGTAAAATCTTAAAATGTTTATTTCAACTTCCTAAGTATTGGTTGTAATTAGGCAGATTGAATAAGAACCCGCGTGCTTTGATAATCGATTATCAGGGTATGACAATCAATTATTGACCACGCTGAAATTTCCCAGTTTGTAGCAAAGGTTGACAATCGATTATCACACAGTGCTAAACTATTAGACTCTACTGAACTCTGATCTCAGGAACGGTTTCACTTGATCATTTATTACCACAAGGTGATAATCAGTTATCACACCCCTCTGAACTTTGAGTTCTGAAAGTGGCCAACCTGACAATCGATTATCACAACGTGCAACGTGATAATCAACTATCAGGGGCTATAGAACCTTGGGTTCAAGAACTTCTAGGCCAGACAATCGATTATCAACATGGAATAATCGACTATCAGCCAGTCCAAAACCCAAGGATTACCATGCTATGGAACAAAGCGTTTCTGGAACAAAACCAATATGGAATTAAACATGTTCATTCAAAATAGGTCATTCATATCATCATGTACATCCTAGACCCATGTTGTAGGATTATTCATATCATGGCATAACAGCGTTAAGAGGTCAGGCCTAGTGCGCCTCTTCTGCGGGTCCATCCATGAGCCTTCGGAGTCTAATGGGTTTCATTTGGAGGGCTTGTGTACGTACATGGTAACTAGGCTTTCAGTTATCATCCATAATTTCTAGTATCCTTTACGAGACTAAGGTTTCCATGCGCAGTCTAACTCATGAATCATTTGGCATTACATCGTTTGTAAATAATTATACAGAACTTAATTATCAAATTAGTATGTGGTATCTCGTACTTTAGTACAGGTACGATTATGACTTTATCTATTTGAAATATTTCTAGAGTAAATTCCATAAAAGGTCAGCACTATAGATCGTTTTACATATTTAGTCCCTACATATCAAATATTACTAATTTAGTCCCTAACTATTATATTCATTTCCACGAATGGTTCTTTGTTAACATTTCCGTAAAGAACGTGGATAAAACTGTAAATTCACACTCCTTTCTCTCCTTAATTAAGCTTCCTCCCTCCTCTAATCCATCGTTGAGTTTGAAGTTTTGATCCCAAAACCGAAATCATCACTCTTCTTTCAATTGTTTGTCTAACTGGTAGAAGCCAAATTCAAAACGAGTAACCTTCATGAATGAGTTTTAATGTTTATTTTTCTTTGTATTATTTTGAGAACAACTGATAAAACTCATTCATAAAGCTTATTGGTTTTTATTTTAGGTTCCACTACGAAGACTAATAATTGACAGAGGAATGATCATTTCTGTTTTGGGTTTAGAGCTTCAAACTCAGCGACGAGTTTGGGAAAGAGTATGAGAGGAAAGAGGAAGCTTAATTGAGGAGAGAAAGGAGTGTGAATTTACAATTTTATTCTCGTTCTTAACGAAAGTGTTAACAAAGGACCATACGTGGAAATGAATATAATAATTGGGGACTAAATCAGTAATATTTGATATGTAGGGACTAAATATGTAAAACGACTTATTATTAGGAACGTTTTATGAAATTCACTCATATTTCTATGTATTCTACTGTTACATTTCCACTCAGCCTATGCTGAGCGTATATCATTGTTTTTTCTATACGCAGGTAGGCGTGATGACCATGGAGCCTGACTCGGATGATTCGGAGATCGGGGCGGCAGACAGGCGACGACATGGACCTAATTATTTACTTATTTAATATCATAGACAGTTTTGGGCTTGAACCCACCTTTTTCATACTTTACTCGGTTGGACTTAACATTTGGTTTCCTTAATGCTTCCGCAACGTAACATTACATTTACCTCAAACATTTAAGGGAATTAACTTCCAACGGTTTTATTCAAATAAATATTTCAAGGGCTTTCCATTTTACAAACTTAAATAAAGGAATTTCATTTAGATGGTCCTAAAAATCATCTGTGTGACCCCTCTGGTTTGTTGGGCCACGGCGAACCGGGTTCACGGGACGAAGGGTGTTACAATTTGGTATCAGAGAATTTTGTTGTATAAACGATTTTGGAAATCGAACTTGAAAACATTTTTTAGGATCCACCGTCGCATCCCCCTTCACATTTCCACCCGGGAAGGTAAACAGTCATCATCTTAGTTATTATTATTTACCCTAATATGAAATCTCCTTTCAGAAAGGAAATGAGTAAAGCTCCCAACCAAGGACACGCTGGTCCCCAAGGGGAGAAAGAGCACATGAGCATGCACACTGAAGCGTCTAGCTTCACACCCCAATAGCATGTCCCGGAGTTGCAAGTTCCGAAACCGATCCTTGCCCCACAGCCGATCCCTATCCTCGAGCTGGAGTTGGCGGCCAATATGTTCAACCTCCTCTTGCAGATGGCGGGGGCATATGTACTACCACCACCACCTCCGGCGATTGCGGTCACTATAGAAAAGCTGAAGAAGAATGGAGCAGAAGAGTTCTGAGGCGACAAGATCTCCGAACCAATGGTTGCTAAGCACTGGCTTGAGCGTATAAGTCGGGTTCTTGGAACCCTTCACGTTCCATTGGAGCAAAGAGGCGACCTAGCCATTGCCTTACTTCAAGATGCCGCCTATGACTGGTGAATGTTCCGGAGTCAGTGCCGTGGGCAACCTTTGACGAGCTCTTTTGGGAAGAGTATGTGCCCGAGCATTTCATGGAGGAGAAGCGAGACGAGTTCATGAAGTTCACCCAGGGTGAACTTACACTTTCAGAGTATCGCCAAAAGTTCGACGAGTTGGCCGAGTTTGGCCGAGATTTGGTACCGACAATGGAGAAGCGGTGTAAGCACTTCATGGAGGGACTACGCCCTGACCTGTTCCCTGGGCTGGTCTCTGGACCCAGGCATGACATCAATGTTATATACAAACAGGCATTGGATCTTAATGCGGCCCTACTCAGGAAGGTCAAATACGAGCAGGCCCAGGCGACACTTCCTTGTCCACCTCCACTGCATAGGACCGGTCTCAGAAGCAAGAGGCTTCCCTCTGTGCCGAGCCGCTCGCACTGAAGAAAGAAGGGCAAGTCGACACCTGCCCCATTATCAGCACCCACAAAGAAGAGTTGGAAGAGCCAAAGCAGATATCGTTACCCAATCTGCACCCTTTGCAAGCGAAGGCACCCTAGGCGTGTTGGTTCTCTTAGTGCCTATGCATTGGGTGTGGACAAGCCGGACACTCCGAAGGGATTTCCTGATGAACCCTGGCGAGGCATTTCCAACGGAACCTGTGGCATCAGCTCCAGCCACCCAGCCTGCTAAGAGCTAGAAGTCAGTAGCAGCGTCAAGTGAGTCTAAACGGCCGGCACTGGGCGCTTAGTCTAGGAAGGCTCTAGCTCGCACATACGCGATGCATGGACGCACTGAGCAGCCTGCCCATGATGTGATTATGGGTATGTTCACACTATTTGATACTTCCATATCTACTCTGATTAGACCTGGCAAAACTAACCCGAACCGAATAACCCGGAACCGAACCCGATTTGACTCGAAAACTGAAGACCCGAAATAGAACCGAACACCCGAAATGATCCAAACCGAACCGAACTCGAACCGAATGTATTCAAACCCAATTCAGAACCGAATCCGATTTAACCCGAACAAATTAAACCCGAACCGATAAAACCCAAACTCGGTTAAACCCGGAACCGATTAGACCCAAAATTGATTAAATTTTATGTACGTCCGTGTTAAATAATAAAATAACTATGAAGTATATCATAAATTGATTGAATTTATTATGTGATATTGATTTATTAGTAAATACTACCTCCGTCCTAGAGTATTTGTCCACTTTAATTTTTTTACACCATTTAATACACTTTTTTGATCCATTTTATCTTGTAGTTTGTATATTAAAAAATTATAGAAATTATATATTAATAATCTATATATTAAGACAAATCAAACAAGATCACACATGACTATATTTAGGCTTACACATTGAGAGAATTTGATGAGTTAAAGTGCTTAGATGAACAGTTCCAAAAGTCAAAAGTGGACGAATATAGCGGGACGGAGGGAGTATTTAAAATATATTTGAATTAATATAAACCTAAATCGATACAAACCTGAATTGATATAAACTCGAATTGATACAAACCGAACCGATATAAACTCGATCCGATACAAACCCGAACTGATACAAACCCGAACCGAAACTGAACCGAAACCGAAACCAGTCAAACTGAAATAAACCCGGAATCAAATTGACCCAATCCAAACCGACCCTAACCGATTATAACTTATATCTGAATGAGACCCGAACTGAAAAGACCCGAACCGGAACCGAATCGATTGACCCGATTGCCAGGTTTAGCTCTGATTGACCCATGTTCTACTTTGTCATATTTGTGTATGTCTATGCCTTCTTTGTCGAATATTCTGAGAGAGAACCTGGAAAATCATGTGATTGTGTCCACTTCGTTAGGACACAGTCTACGTCTCAGTCCTATTTATTCGAATTTTCCGTTAGTCGTGCTAGAGAAGAGTTTCCCTGCAAATGTGATTTAACTCCCTGATGATTGAGAATATTTATTCGTCATAATCATCTTGATCACCATGAGGTTCATAATAATCCCCACAGTTGTCTTGGTATGGAGAATATCCAAAACTCCGAGACGGGGTATTGTATGGTGCTTCCTCATGGTATGGATAATAATCAGGTCTATTATTGACGGAGTAGTCATCATAATAGGAATCCTGATGTGGATAATATGGTGGTGGTGATGGTGGATAGGAATTGGACTGTTGGGAAAATGATGGTGGATGGATGGTTGGTTGGTAGAAAGGAGGTGGATCGTAGTAATCATCTCGAAAATTCATTTTTAATGATTACTACGGGTGGCTTGTGAAAAAGAGGTGAGAAGATCGACCTAACCGGTCTTCACCTAAGCTAATTAAAAAAATTAAACTAATACTGTGCCACTCCCCAGCAACAACGCCATTTGATGATTGAGTTTTTCGGTAAGTCAACTTTCCCAATGAAGGGTTAGTTTTCTCCGAGTGTCGTGTCTCTCGAGGAGTGGACGAAGGGAATTAGCTAATTTTTCTAACTAGACGAAGGTTAGGACAGGTCTGAAAGTCCTCTCGATTTGATTTGAAAATAAACTAAAGTAATAGGTGCTTTTTGAGAAAAAGAAAATAAATAGTACGGGTATAGGACTAGACTTCAGGCCAAGACATCATCTGAGTTAACTACTGTTGTCACATATTTAATCAATAATTGGAATAATAATATTTCTGTCACAAATATTTTATTAACTTATCCTCTCTCAAGGCACATTAATGTGTTCTAAAAAGTTTGACTTAATTAATTTTATATCCTCATAGACAAGGTAAAAACTTATTTCCAATAATTAATTAATTTTTCTCTCGACATAACTAATTATTTAACAATAAAAATAATTCTAGAACAATTATTCCAACTATTAAATAAAAATACAGAGTATATGCCCAAATTTAGCCAAGACCTTAATCTGGGTCCTAACCCATACTAAATATCAACAGTGCATAAAATAAAAGAACATTTTATTAAAATTTAAAGTATTAAAACTTACAACAGAGAGCAAAGTCGGAGGCACTTTGGGACAACCGGAACAAAACTAAACTAAAATATTAAAATATAACTGAGAAAAAGAGCGAAGAATAGAGTTTCGGGTCTTAAAAACCCGGAAGAAGGCTTGATTTGGAATGGAGGAGCGAAGCCTCCTTTTATAGGAGAAATTTTTGGTCCATGCCTCTGACAGGCCTGGGCCTGAGAATAGAAGCGCACGCCTGAACTAGTGGAGAATGCGGCTAAGATTTGCACGCAACTTCGGTCCTCAAATTTCCATGCTCCCAATCTCTTCTTTCTTTTTTTAATTAGATAATGATGATTGATGGCGGCTGACTTCAACCTTACTTCCTTTTGATGTAGATTCTTTTGCTGCTACTGCCACAGTTGGCCGACCAGCCAGGTCGCGCCACGTGGCAGCACCTGGTGGCTGGATTTTAACCCGGTCCAAAAATATTTTCTAAAAATAGAGTCTTGCTCAAAATTTTATTTTGAACAAGTTTTCCTTATGTGCCGACTTCAAATTCTGAAACAATTTGGGTCAAACAAATTTTTTTTTTGAATCAAAACAACTTCTTTTTTTACTTTTTCATTTCAAACAATTCTTTTTGGTATTTTTTCAATCCATTTGACCTCAAATCTTTTGACGGGGTGCATCTCCACAGCTGAATACACATGTTTCACTTTAAGGATTTTCGCCATCTTTTGCTCCTTTGCTCCGTTGCACTCCATTTGCACAATCTTTTACACTTTTTACCACTTTTGACTCAATTTTTATTCTTTTTACAACAAGACATAACTTTTGTGCACTTTTACAATTATGAATAAAAACTTATAAAAACCATTGAGAAATTGATTTGTTTAATCCAAAATTGGACAACAACACGTTAAATGTAGAGAAGATAAGTGCGTACAAAACGGACTTATCAAATTCCCCACACTTAAGCGTTGCTTGCCCTCAAGCAACAAAGTACAATAACAAATGAAATTTTGGATCTAACACTTATTAAAAGGATTTTGGAAAAGCTATTGACCACACTTTTAAAAAATTTGTTGCACAAAACTTTTTTACATTTTTTAATCTTTACAAAAGTAGAACTACTTGAAATATCACCCTTTCTACAAAGAAGTTAGCAAATATTTTTAATTATTTTTCTAAAAGATGCACATAAATTAATGTTATTGGCTAAATGTAAAAGTTATTCATTTGCAAACTTGGATACTAAAGTTTAAAACAAAAGTATTGTAAGTGTTTTGTAATAACTGAAAAATAATTTAAGGTCAAAAATATGTACATTGAAATAAAAAAATTTTTTCTTGAAATTATCATTTATTCCTATGCAAAAAGTAAGTTTGAGTATATATATTTTTTTTGTAGAACATCACTTTGTCATGTTGACACAAGCAAAAATTTTGGTCCTCATCCCATGACATAGAACTACGAGTTTTTTGGATTTTTATTCACTCAAAAACTTCATCACACGACATGGAACCACATGCTTTTTGGCACTCACTTAATATAAGTCTCATCATCTGACATAGAACCAAACGCTTTTTGAATTTTTAATTCACTCCAAAACTTGGCCTCACCAAAGTGTGTTCTTTGAATTTTTTTTTTGATTTTTTTTAAAACTTAAAATGCAATCATTGAAATATCAATTTTTCAAAAAAAAATATATTGCTTATACTCAATTTGAAGTATTGAAACAACATCATTTTAAATGACAAGTTACAAATGTTTGACCTTAATGTATTTTACAAGTTAATATTTATTCACTAAATCAATGATTTATTTTTGACACATTAGTATCCAAATTTATTTATTTACAAAACTTATTAAAGTTAGCCAATAAAAAGACTATATGTGCAATTTAAAGAAAAAATTTTAAAATTTTGGCTAATTTTGCATAAGGAGGCTATTAAAAATAATTCTACCTATGAAAGAGTAAAAAGTGTAAAAGAATTTTAAAAGTATCAATAGTGATAACTAGACCGATTCAGAGTATTCGAGATCGGGCAAAATGCTGCCAATTAGGTGCTCTTAGACTCACCCGAATAAACCTTTCTACGAAATGACCCAGTAGGAATGGTGGGACAAATTCGGCTCCCAAAGGTGTCACCTTTTGCGTCCACTTAAGTACCATTCCAGCTTAGACAGTCATTCCGTACACGGTGTAGAGATCAATATTAATACACAAAATGCAACAAAGTGTATAAAAATATTTTCAAAAAGTTTTCCTACACAAATAAAAATATTTTGTACCAAACTCCAATCTCCCCACACTTAGGGTTGACCTAGCCCTCGAGGTCATTAAGCGATAAAAATAAGAGTTTGGGACAGAGGCAATTCTCACGTTTTCTTTGGAAAATGTTTTTACAAAAATATTGTGCACAAAAGTTAGTCATTTCTTTTTTTTGTTGAGTCAAAATGGTTCACCAGCATTCCTAATTCCAAGCTTCACCTGCACATACAAACACACAAAAACGCGTAAAAAGGAAAAAGAAAATTAGAATTTATTCACTTGGGTTGCCTCCCAAGAAGCGCTTCTTTAACGTCACTAGCTTGACGTTAGCCCGTTTTTTTACGAGACTTACCGATCCGAGAGTCATAAAGTTTGTCCTTTTTGACTCTCTTCTGATGCCACCTTTGTTCTGTTCTTTTGTAGTCAAAGTCCAGGATCTTTGACTCATTCCTGTGGCGTGGTGGCAACAGGAAAAATGAAGGAGACTCGTCTCGGATGGGTGGTGGTGGGAGTCTCCTCGGTGTATCCACATCATTGGCCTTAATCGCTAGTACATGGCTCTCCAAGTCTTCAATGGGCTGACTTTCAGTTGCTGGCTCGATGATTACAACATGTCCTTCCCCTGAGTCTTCAGTGATAGTTTCTATAGACGGAATGGGTTCAGCATCACAAGGTATTTTCTCGTCTATAGATTCGTCAGACTCATCAGTATCGGAATCAAGGGGGTCGGTGGTGGGCTCAGATTTCTCCAGAACAGGTTCCTCTAGAGAAGTGTCTTCAACACATGTTAGGAGGACAGGTTCCTCCAACATTTTTGGTACAGCGGGTGAAGGCGATTCCGAGACAGGACCCTCAGTAGGCTTCACATCTTGTACGATTAAACTTTGTGGGCTTTCAGGAAGCATCACCACTGTACCTCGTGCAATCATTTCTGCAAGTGTTATCTTGTTTTCGATATACAGTGGTGATGGAGTTTGTGGGTATTCAAGAATTGAGACATTGTTGGATTCAGTTTCAGATTCTGTCTCAAATTCTTCATCCTCTTCTAGAACAACAATTGCCTCCATCTCTTCTTGTTGTTCCATAGCATTCTTAAAGTCCTCCAGCATCTTTTGCATATGCTCCCAATATTCGCTTTGTTCGTTATCTTTCTGGGTTTGGAGCAGTTTGCGTTCTTCTTGGACTTTTTTGAGAAATTGTTCTCTTGCCTGGATTGCAATTCTGGACAGGCTCTTCAGTTTGAGAAGTCCAGACTTTGTTTTTGAGTCATTTGTTCTTGAATCAGCATAATTATCTTCAATCTAGCCGTTGAAAATCAAGAGATTGATTTTTCCTTACCAACGGGTAGAATTTCTTCATTCAAGACTTAGATAATTTTCTAAGTCTTTTCTCACTTGTCCGCTTTTGAGAGTTCCGGTCTTTCTTGAGGCATCCGGTTCTTAGCCGACAAATCCGGAAGAGTCACTCGCAGTCTTCCGGGTGAGAAAGAGATCTGCACTAGTCTTCCAACTTGGATGACTTAGCCTTCTGCGGGTTGTAGCGAGACATCCGGTTATCATGTAGTCTTCCGGATTAGAGGATTTTCATCCGCTTTGAGAAATCCTTACTTGTCTCTGACATTTCCGATCAAGATATCCAATTTCCAAATCACTGAATTTGATTAAGTCTTCAGGCATCAAACCGTTTAAAGAAATATCACAACTTTATTGGAAATCTCAAGAACTCGGTTTTGACAATATTTCTAAAAAGAAAAATTACATTGAATATTGGGGGAGACTTAAAGTCCATATTACATTCTAAATACATCATCATCAAAATCTATAATATTTTTCCCAACAATTTCCCCCTTTTTGATGATGACAAACAAGTGTTTAAGAGTTC